GGAGGGGGCCCCCTCTGCTGTTTCTCCGCCCTCAGCTGTTCCAGCCATTGCCCAGGCTGTGCTGGTGACAGGGGTTTTAGGGAATAGAGGACTGCTTTAACTGCAGGTGACCCACAAGTTGTATCCTGAAATACTGATATATGAAATGGGAGCTGCTAATATATTTGAGCTGTAAATGGCCCTTGAAACCACCACAAAGTACTTCAGGTACTTCAGGGGTCCACAGCCTTTGTGAGATGTGTGAGAGGGGAGTGATGGTTTGTGGGTTTGAGATATATATATATATATATATATATATATATATATATATATATATTGAATTGAAACACATTTCTAACTAATTTAGCCACAGTGGCCTGTTCTAAAACTACATGTCTGGTTTAGCTGCTGCTTGTCTTAGGAAAGTGCTATGAATAAGATGCATGTAGATCTTTACATATAAGTGACATGTAAATCCATGTGCTTTGCCTCCAGACAGTGGCAGGAGCCACAGGTGTGCGGTTGAATCAGCTCACTTTGGTGGTACAGACCAAGCAGGCCAGGTGGTCCTACCTTCCCACCTCCTCCCTGGCACCGTTCCTGACCCAGTCTGGTTCTGAGTGCATTTTTCCTCTCACTGTCTGGGCTTACTCTTGGTGTGTTGCTGTGTAATTTTAATTCTTCTTCTCTCTCCTTTGCCTCTGTTTGCACCGCCATTCCCTCCTATTTAGTACTATTTAATCTCTCTTAACTGAGGGGAGAGATAACTAATACATATCTATATCTTTATTTACTGAGCAATTTTTATGTATCCTGCTTCATATAAAAGTAATGATTCTGAAAACAAATATATCATGATTTTTAAAATATTAATACCCTAGATTGATTTTTGGCATTGCCATTCCCAAACTCAGAAGTGTGGCCAGCAATAGAGGTGCCACCATAGGGCTCCTAGGATAGAATGAGAAAGGGCCTGTGGCTGTGGCTGTGGCATGGTGAGGCAAAAAGCATGATGGCAGAAGCATGCAGGGCATGGGTGCAACCTGGGCATGTGAAATGGAGCCCCCAGTTAGTAGCCACCCATAATGTAACACTCGGCCTTTCTACCACGGAACTCGGCACTTGCTGGCCTTTGCCACCTCCACCCCCAAGTGATCTATCCCCAGAACCTGAGCTCATCGAGTTCATGACCCCTCCACACCTTCGCTTGGGCACATTCCTCTGTTTGGCATGCCTTGGGGATGCTCCATTCCGTTCACCTGATCAACACCTACCCATCTGCTGAGTCCTTTCTCATCCATGGAACCAGCTAGAACAGACTCCTCCTTCATGCCCACTGTGATCAGAGGTATGGTCTCAGTCTCCTGGCTCCCCTAGTGCCCAGCACAGAGCCTGGCACACAATAGTATCCAATCGACACATGTTGGAGAAATCATGAGCGCAAAGTCTTTGTCTCCTGCTTTACTAGAAGGACAACAAAGTGAGCTAATGTGATTCTCCACCAACCCCGCCCCTTCCCATCCCTGAATCTACTCCTTTGCCTTGAGACCTGCCCGAGATGCGCAGATCCTGCCGCCCTCCTTAGAGCCCTCTGACAGAAAGCTTTCCATTATTTCCCACCCCCACAGGAAAACCTGATCTCCACTTGAGCTTCCAAGTTCCCTGACCCACTGGGTCCTTGACTGAGCCACTCTAGTGGCTATTTTTTCCATCCCCATGTCAGGCACATGCACGACACAGTGAGCCAACTCCTGGGTGCCACCTGTAACATGACTGAGGGTTAAACGAGCAAGCGAAGGTATCTCTGCCACCCTGCAAGGAGAAAAGGCCAGAAGCAACACTACTGCTGGCCACAGGAAGGGAAGAGTTAGACGGCAGGTTCCCACCCTTGTGAGGCAGTGAGTAGCGCAGTTGGTCACTGTTCCAGGGACATGGCATGAAAACATTACACTACCTTGTTGGCCAGGGCATCTCCAGGTCCTTCTTCGCCTTTCCCAACATTTAGCTCTGACTGCTTGCAATTAGTATCTGAGAGGCAATCTAAAAGAGGCAAGCTGCATTATGGAGACCCCGGGAAAACTGCAGGGCACAGCTCATCTGGTACAGGGAGGCTCGGTTGCCAAAGGTGGGTTCCTTTACCTACTCAGCAGGGCCTCACCAAGGAAATGCGATCAAGAAAGTGGTGTTCGTCTTTAGCATTTATTTATAACTGGAAAAACACCTGTTGGTTTGCTTTTTGAGCAAGCACAGACCACAAGACATCACAATCAATTGGCTATACATGAATATTTTTTGTCATTCTTTTACTAACAGCAGAAATGAGATAGCACCAAGAGGGGTGTGCACTACATGATACATAGACAATCTGTGGTATTCAACAAAACCAGGGCCACAAAATCATAGACACTTCCTCTCTGCCTCAGAGTGACATGGCTACATGTGCTGTCTGGGAGCTGGGGCAGAGAAGGGAAAGTTGGCCGGAACTTGGGGGGAGTTTTGCAGGCAGGCCAAGGAAAAAAATGTCTCCATTCCAGCCCTCTTGCTGGGGGTAAACAGGGAACAGTAGGGAAATGTACAGAATGAGGGACAGGTTTGGTCACCCACAAAAAGGCAACATCAAACACTGCCTGAGGAACCACAGACAGTTTTGTCCAGTATGTTTGGGAGACAGAACAAGACCGGCTGAGTTTTATTTGTAAACAGTAGAAATCAAAGGAAGTTTCTTGTCAGTGGAGTGAAACATTCAAGAGTCAAAGTGAACTGCAAACAGTTTTCGTAGGTGGGTGTGTGAAAAACAAGGGGACACTGACAGCTTGAAAAGGACATTATCCAGGTCACCTAAAGCCTCAAGGCAGGGCAGGGTAACAAATTCAGCCCCTACGGCTCTGGGGTCCTTGTGGTAAGCTATGGCAAACTACACACAAATTGAGTGTGCACAACACCAACTCAACTCAGTCACAGCATATGTGGGATAGTCATGCACCTGGATGCGTTACTATAGAGATCTGTCTGCCCCGCAGCCTGGCACAGTGCCCGGCACAAGATACAACATGAATGGTGAATAAAGGATCCCCTGTGCATTGTAAACTCCGACTTATTCTATCTACAAAACACACAGCTATTCTACAGAGAAACCAAAGTGTGGCTAACAGCAGATCAGGCTGATACCGGGGCTTGAGAGGAGCATACGCCGGCAGCTACAGTTGGAGCACTTGATAGTTTTCGGTAAACAGTAAGGTTGGCTGACAGGTAGCCAGAAACAGTATGGAGCTCTAGTTGTTTTTTTTTTTTTTTTTTTTTTTTTTTTTTTTTTTTTAGCTCTAGGCATTTCTGGACAGGCATGTGAAACCTGTGAGTCGTGACAACGAGACTCGTTAGCATTGCCTCCCTTCTCTAGCAAGCCTCTCTCACAGTCCATGCCCTGAGACGGAAAAGACAGCGTCAGGTGATACCATAGACTTCATTTCTAGTCTTCTCTGTTAAAAAACAAAAAACAAAAAACAACGAAGGCTCGCACACCACTGGTGAGTTAATTTACAAACGTGTCTCAACCAGCCCCAAAAGGGGTGAACGAAACCTTCACTGTCTATACAATGAAACTGAGCTGGAGCTTGGGAGCTCTGCCTTCCTTAACTGCAAGGACCTGAAAGGACTTCTGAGGGAAAGTGCCATGAGATCTTCCCTCTGAACCACTTTTACCACAAGAGAAAGCAAACCACAACTGCACCATCCCAGCTACTCAGAACACTGAGCAAGTAAGGATTTCCAGGACAGGAGCAACCTATAAGCCACCAGAACCTTTCTGGTGGACATTTTGGGTTCCCTCATAAGTAAGTAGGGTGGGTTCCTTTCATAACCACTCCCTAATTCCTACAACACAACTCTAGGGGGCTTCGGCCACACACAGGCAACACTGCAATATGGAGCACACTGAGAGCTGATTCTAAGCATCAAAAGCCATAGGTGCTTGTTCGCTCAGCCCTCAGCAGGGCTCACCACACAGACTCTGGCAGGATGCTCAGCACACTGGCCTCTTTGTGAAAAACAGCAATAGCTCAGGGCTGGAGGGGTGCATCACCATAGTTGCTGCATGTCTACACGCCTCACCTGCACATCTGAGGAACAGAAAGTCACAACAAGTATATGCTATGTACCATCTGTACATCTGACTATTCTCTGTTAACCAGGTGTTCTGCAACATCAGCCATGTGCTGAGGGCAAACAGAGGAAAGTGGGCTCCCACTGCTGGGAGCTCCCACTACAACATCTTCGGCATCCCAAATACTCTGCAACTTCTGGCCGGCCCCAGCCAGTGGCCTATTACTTGATACACTATTCAAAGCCCACTGACAGGCACGAAACACAGGCACACACTCTTAACTGAGGGTTCCAGGAGAGGGTTACTTCTAGTTAACAGACAGAATTCCATTTCACTGACAGTAAGGCCAAGGTTGGTTTGTTGTTGTTTTCATCTGTAACATTTTCACAAATTCTAACTGTTGAAGCCTAAGCTGAACTTGGGTAACATGCAAGCATCTGATGAACTTGAGAAAGAACATTTGCCTAAAGTCCAAAATCGAGTGATGCAACTGTGGGAGGCACAGGGAGGAAGCCTTGCAGCAGACACTCCCAGCTCCACCAGGAGCTGCACTTGGCAGTAGTCAGACCTGTCCCAACCCAGACCCACAGGGAATGCATAGCCAGTGAACAATGTTTCTGGGTGTCCCAGAGGCCCTTGGCTAGATGCTGTGCCACCCATATGAAGAGGCAGAGACCTCAGTCTGTGAAACACGATTCCTCCCAGAAAAAACCAACCACAGGGCTCCTGTGATACTCGGAACCAAGGCAGATGGGAAGTCTCTAATTAATTTTGTGGCCTTTTTTCGTTTGTTGGTTTAAATAGAGGGAAGTTGGGGGTGGGGGGAGAAAAGGAAAGTGCAGTGACATTTACTCTTTCGCCTCAGCCAGTTTATTGTTCATCTCTTTACTTTGCTCCTTGTCGTCGGGTTTGGTGGCACTGGGGCCCTCTGTGGTCTTTTTCTTGGCGGCCTGGCCCGATACCACCTGCTTGTCTTTGGCCTTCCTCGGGGGCTTATGGCTCGTTGAGGTCTTTTTTGGTTTGGAACTCTGAACACTAGGTTTCTCTACCTGCATGGGGAGACAGACAGACAGAGCACAAATACAGAAACACAAAAGGGAGGGAGTGGGAGAGGGATTTAGAGAAAGACATCGAAGCATTAACAAAAGAATAATAGTGACTAGTGGCAGAGTGGACAGGCAGAGTGAGGGCAGAATTTCAACGATGTCTGGCCATCTGGTTTCTGTTGTCTGAATCCACAGGCAGCCTGTAGCAGCACCCTCACCTGTCTTATGCTCCCTGCCCTGTCATTTTTTCCCGTGGAGCAGACCATCTCGGTGGTGGGCTAGATAATGGTTATGAAATTTATTGTCCCTCCTTGCTGGAAGGCTATGTCTCACTCACCTCAGGCCCAGGCATGCAGCTTGCTGTAGTCAGTGAATGCCAGGCACTCTTTGAGCAAATGCTCAGTCACTTGGGTCCTAGACTGAAGAGGGCAGGCAGGGATTCATGGGAATGCACCATGGTTGATCCCTGGGGTGGGGAGTGGAGCTTCAGAACAACTCAAGTGCCAGGCAGGCAGTAGGCTCTACTAGCCATATGTTTAACTCTAACTGGATCTAGCCTTCTTCCCCATTGCAGTCACTCCAGTCTCCAGGCTCCTCCTCTAGATCTTTCCTCTCATTCTGAAGATACAGTCTTGTTTTCTCTTTCTCAGAGAACTCTGGAGTAACTAGGATTGCTGGGCCGATATGCCAAACTCTGCTGTCCATCCCTAAGTTCCCCTGAACTTCCCTCCTTCCTCACTCGGAATCTCTCCTTCAATGCTAACCTTTATCCTGGAGCCTATTTCGTCAGTGGATGGACAGAGCTAGTGCTGGGCCTCTCAGGCTGGGCCATTCACTAACTGAGGTCCAGTTACCTCATCCTGATTTGCTTGGATTGGGGTGGGGGGTTTCCAGGACTAGATGCTTCCCAGACAAACTGGGTCAGTCTGTTACCTTGGCTACAAACTGGTCCTGGCATAATAGAAATGCCAACTGAATGCTAGACTTGAGGGCAAAAGTGGAGAAAGGCCAGTTAGGTTCTGGAGTTATTTTGGTCCCCACACATGTTTGGCTATTAAAGATGGGAAAGGTGGTTATGTGCCCAGCCCCATCTGGCCTGATACACAGGGAGCCAGCCTGTGGGCCCACTTTGCTAGCTCTGCCCAACATGCTTCTACTGTCAACAAACTCATATTGAGATGAAATTAGGAAGACCAGTGTTAGCATAAAAACAACAAACCCCAAATCCTCATTCAGAAACTGCTACTTCAGTGATAAATAACTGGGAACACTTCTAGTGCTCATGTGACAGGGGTGTTGTGACATACATCCACTTTGTTGGGTGGGGCTGGTCAGGGAAGGATGAGTGAAGTTAGATGTGCTTCAAAGATGGAGGGAAGGACCCTTCCAGGGATTGGAGAAGGGTGGAGGAAGAGCTGCTGGGCCAATTGCAGATGCAAAACAGGCCAGGTAAGGGGCTACAACCCTGGGGCAGCTGCTCGGGCGCTGGAGTACAACTCCTTTAGAACAGGGGGCTTTAGCACCCAGGTGAGGTTTTTCTGTTCAACAAACCCCAAATCCTCATTCAGAAACTGCTACTTCAGTGATAAATAACCGGGAACACTTCTCATGCTCATGTGACAGGGGTGTTGTGACACACAGGCACTTTGTTGGGTGGGGCTGGTCAGGGAAGGATGAGTGAAGTTAGATGTGCTTCAAAGATGGAGGGAAGGACCCTTCCAGGGATTGGAGAAGGGTGGAGGAAGAGCTGCTGGGCCAATGGCAGATGCAAAACAGGCCAGGTAAGGGGCTACAACCCTGGGCCAGCTGCTTGGGCACTGGAGCACAACTCCTTTAGAACAGGGGGCTTTAGCACCCAGGTGAGATTTTTCTGTTGCTTTTCTTCTGCATTTCTCAAATACAGAATCTGGTGTTCCAAATGTTAAGCTACTTTTATGTAATGTTCCTTTCTAATGTGCCCTTTGAACACAGAGGTATCTGTTGAAGACGGCCCTGGGTCTGTGTGATGAGGAAGAAAGGTAAGACTCATCAGGAGCTCTTGGGGGACAACCAGAGCCCCCCATTTTGCTTCGTCCAGGCTGTGCAGTAAGTGCTGTCTCACCTTCGGGGATTCCTTGAAAGGCTCGCTGTAGAGGCTTCGTATTCTTCTGCGATCCATGGCCTTGTTGTCAGCTGCAGTGGGCTTATTGGCCTCCCCTTTGAACTGGGCACTGTAGCTCGTCTCGTGGACCATCTTGTCATCTGGGGGCTTGTACTGGGGCTTGGCTTTGATCGGCTTCACAGGCTTGATGTCTGTCCATGCTCTGAACTCGTTCCTGTGAGTCAAAGAAAACATCAGTGATGAGAGATATCACACAGCAGAGAAATGTTCCCCACCCCATCTACACACAAAGCTGGGTCCCTGATCCATGCTTTGTGGCCAGGTGTGGAAACAGCAGTAGAGATCTCAGAGAGAGTTCAGGGTCCTTCCCAGGCCTAGACTCAGGAGATCCAGGACAGCCATCCTCACCTTCGGGTCTTGTGTGGCCAGACTCTACTGGAGGCCGAGATACCCGACCTGGTCAGTGCTTTGGGAGCTCAATGAACATGGGATGCCTGTATGTGCCAGGCTAAAGAGCTTCTGACTAGGTTGAGTCAGACACACTGCAGCCTTGCAACAAATTTCAAGTTCCCCTTGCCACTTTTTGTGTGGTGGTGGAGAGATCAACTCAGGCCCTGAGTACGAGAGGCAGGAGCCTCAAGCCCTTCTTTCCCCACTTCTCACAGTGAGGAAGAGTCTTTTGCTGTCAGAGTCTTCAGGGTAATCCCTCCCATGCTTGCTTTTTATGGTGCCAGACCACTA